CCCCCACCGGCCCCCGCCGGCCCCACCAGCCCCACCAGCCCCCTCCAGCCCCTGCTGGCCTCCACCAGCCCCACCAGCCTCCACCAGCCCCCACCAGCCCCGCCAGCCCCCTCCAGCCCCTGCTGGCCTCCGCCACCCTCACCAGCCCCGCCAGCCCCCACCGGCCCTCGCCGGCCCCACCAGCCCCGCCAGCCCCGCCAGCCCTCGCCAGCTTCCCAGGCCATCAGCCCCTGAAGGTGAGTTGCTTCCCTCCTTGCCCGGGAAGAACGGACAGCCAGGGCCTTCGGGGGGCGTCTCCTCACTCCCCATCATCTCCCTCCAGAGGCACACCCGCCGCCGGTGCTCATGGCACCATGGCCCCTCGATGGGGGCCACCCTCCCCGGCCAGGGCTCCCCGCACGGGCAGGTCGCCGCTCTCTCCCTGCACGATGGAGCGAGCGCTCGGGAAGGGCCGTGACTCTCCTTCCAAGGAAAAAGCCGGTAATTAACAGAGGCTTTTTGGGAAGAATGTTCTGCCTCCTCCTCTCCGCCTGTTTTCCATTTAACGTGTTTTATCAGAGTGAAATGCCTTAATGAGCACAGAGCTGCAGCTGATCCCAGCTGAACCGCGCAGTGCTCTGCGCCCCGCTTCCTGCTCCCGTCCCGCTGCGTTCAGCACGGCGCGGCGACTCGGGTCCCTTCTGCCCCGAAACGCGACAGGGAGCGCACCGACTTCCTGCGGACAGAAACGGGTGGCAAAGCAGCCCACACCACGGCTGCGCCAGACAAGAGTCCCACGGAGGGAAGACGGGAGGGCAGGGGAGGCAGTGAATGGGAACACGAGTGTGTGCGTGTGTGCGTGAGTGGGGTGGCATGCATGTGAGCACGTGTGCATACACACACGTGTGTGCGGCGTCCGTTTGGAGAGGATAAACCTGTTGCGGAAGCCACGTGGACATCTCCTCTTCCATCTGCTGAAGACACATCTGCCCCAGGAAGGCCCGGGCGTGTGCCACGCCGTCACTCTGAGCACCTCGGACCAGGCCCGGCCGTGCCGAGACGCCTGCCGGACCCCGGGGCCGTGCCGCTGGTGTGTGCCCTGCGCCCAGTGCAGCGTGCACGTCGCGATCACGCCCGTCACTCACTTGTTCCCTCATTCATTCATTCCCTCCACAAGTGCAGCGCCTACTGTGTGCCAGGAGCTGCTACCGCACGGGGCGCAGGCCAGGTCTCTGCCGCTCTCAGACAGCACGCGGGCAGGCGCATACGTGACGAACATGCACCGAGCGCGGCGGGGCAGAGGGTGAGGAAGGCCGGGGCTGGGAAGGGCCCGAGGCGCCTGCCCGGAGCTGCCGGTGGCTGTGGGCACCCGGGACAGCCGCGTCCCTGGGGAGGAAAGGACAGGGCTGGCCTCACGTCCGGAAACCTCTTCGGCAGAGACTAGCCGCCCACCAGCCACGCTTCGCTCCCCCCCTGGGGACGGAGCTGTGTGTCCCCAGCAGCCACCGACCGCAGTTGGCCGTGGCCAAGTGAGCGGGTGGGCTTTGGCGGAGGGGACGTGGGCAAAACTGACGCACACCACTTGCTCGCCACGCAAGCCCGAGCCCCCCACCCTGGGGCCCTGAGTGGCCGGAGCCCAGAGCCGGGAGCCCCACGAACCTGCACGAGGAGCAAAAGTGGAATCCTGCTATGCCGGTTTTTGGGCAGCTTTGGAGACGTCCCCGCAGCCGCCTGCCAGCCCCGGCACACCACGCCCTGCTCACAGCCCTTCCCCAGAGACACGCCCGGCATGGGCGGGCCCTTCCTTCGGGGCTGCTGGCCACGTCTGGGGTATGGGGAGTGGATGGCAAATCCGCTCCGACCCGCAGCTACGCCACAGACCCCCAGACAGAGGCAGCGCCAGCCTGGTGAGTCCAAGTCGCCAGTGACGGTTTCCAGGCCCGACGGATCCGCAGCTTCCCGCACCCTGACACCGAGCGCCAAACTCACGTCTCGTGTCCCCCCGTTGCCGTTTGGGAAACATCAACGGCAAAGAGCGTCTTCAGGAAGCTGCATCCGCCAGGCTGAGAGCTCCTGTCACCTGTTCCTCTCCCCCACCTTCTCCTGGGGTGTGGGAATTGGGAGGGCGAATTTCCCTGCTGCCAACGGGAAAACCGCGTGCCAGCCTGGGGCACAGTAAGCCCAGTGTCACTGCGACGTCTTGAGAAGAAATGTCCCTGTTGATTGACAAGACAACGTGGCCCGCCTGTCAGGGACCCCAGCTCTCCGCTGGTCTGGGGGAAGCCGGCCCCGGCCCCCAGCCCTGACTTCCTCAGCCACCGCCACGCAGACGCCCGGCCAGGTGGAAAGCGCAGGTGTGTGACCTCGCCACAGCCCAGCAGAACACGGACACGCAGGACCAATGAGCCCAGCGGGTCACACGCAGCCTGGGGACCTTCTGGGGCAAGGTTCTGCCCATGTGACCCCCTCCCCCCATTTTCTGGCACCTTTTATAAGCTGTCTACAGATGGGAGCACAGATAGAACGTCCCACTTGTTAGCCCTAGGTCAGGACGACGGAATGTTCCGGTTGAGCTAAGACGCCAGCCAAGATTCAGGAACACGCCCTTCCTGTGTGTGTGCGCAGACCAGAGCGCCCAATCATCGTTCGTTCGCTCTGCAGACTACGCACCTGCCACAGCCGTGAGGGTGGCGTGGGGCAGACTGCCCGGGAATTCGGGAAGGGTCAGGCCGGCAGCTGTCAGATCACGGCGTGGGCCGACGCCGGGTAACGGAGTCTCGCTGGGACACAGCCCCGCCCGTTAGTGTGTGTTACGGCCCCGCCTGCGTTCCCACTGCGGCAGAGACTGCAAAGCCGGAGATATTTGCTCTCTGGCCCTTCACAGAAAGGGTCTGCCGACCCCCGAGCAAGACCGATGGCGTCTACACGGCGTGATGTGGGGCAGTGCCCACATGTGGCATGTAGCACGGCCACCTCTCTCCCCGAGCAACTGCGCCCCGTCCTGAGGACATTCACACGGGACGCCTCTGTCCTGGCGATGGTCCCATCCCCGCCGGATACAAAGTTTCCTTTCAGAGTAAGCTCGTTTACATCAAGGAGGAACCCCTCGGAGAAACATTTCAGACCGCTGACAATGCAAGGGACAGCCAGCACACAGCAGGTGCCTGCAGGTGTGTGTGGGGGGGGTGGCGCAGTTGCTGCAGAACTGCCGCTGGCATCGTCCTGAGCAGGGGCCTGGGGGTGGCCAGTTGGCCCAGGGGATGGGGTTTGGGAACTGCCCCAGGATGGGGTTTCAGTCCTTTATAGCTTCTCTTGAGCTCTGAGTTCCCAACAGCGAAATCTCCGACCCAGCCAGGTGACTCAAGGGACCCGGGGGGCTCAGGAGAGCCCCACACCGGGAGGAAGCAGCAGGAGGCTCGGTGACGCTGGGCGGTGGGGCCAGCTTGGGACGGAGAAGGCGGGTGGCATTTTGCAGCCGAGCCACCTTGGTGGAGCGTAAGTGGGTGTGCACGCTGCCCTCGCTGACGTCCGAGCTCTGCCTGAATACCTGCCGTTGCTGCCCCTCGGCCGGGTCAGCCGGCCCTGGTGGCTGGCGCTGGGGGTGCAGAGAACCTTGGGGGCTCCCGGGGCTGGTGCTTCTTTCCTCGCTGTCTCCGTTCCCGACACAGCCCGGCCTTGCGTGTCGAAAGGCAGGAGAAACAAAACAGGCCAGGCAGCACCGGCAACGAGGAGGACCCTCGTCACACTCGGGGATCTGGTGTCCAAAGAGTGGGGTGAGGCTTTTCCACAGCGCATGGGAACTATTTAGTGGGATTCTCACCATCATTTTATCAAATTATTGCTCAGATTGGGCTGCAATTTTCTTCAAAGGGAAGAAGAAATTGCTGGCTGATGGATTAGATTATAGAAGCACAAATTTGTAAAACAAATTCTGTCTGCAGAGAAAGCAACCCGTGGCGGCTGCAGGGAACACGGTGACGCCGGGGAGCCGGCAGACGGGCCACCCCACTGCCCACCGTGACCCCCGGCCTGGCCTCAGGCTCAAGGCTCTGACTTTCAGCCGGGGACTATCACACACGTGCCACATCCCACCAGGCCCAGTATCTCAGTGCAGTGGCCATTGTCATGGATGTGCCACCCTCCCACCAGGCCCGGTATCTCAGCTCGGTGGCCATTGTCATGGACGTGCCTCCCTCCCACCAGGCCTGGTATCTCATCGCGGTAGCCATTGTCATGGACGTGTCACCCTCCCACCAGGCCCGGTATCTCAGTGTGGTGGCCATTGTCACGGACGTGCCTCCCTCCCACCAGGCCCGGTATCTCAGCGTGGTGGCCATTGTCATGGACGTGCCACCCTCCCACCAGGCCAGGTATCTCAGCATGGTGGCCATTGTCATGGACGTGCCTCCCTCCCACCAGGCCCGGTATCTCAGCGTGGTGGCCATTGTCATGGACGTGCCACCCTCCCACCAGGCCAGGTATCTTAGCATGGTGGCCATTGTCATGGACGTGCCTCCCTCCCACCAGGCCAGGTATCTCAGTGTGGTGGCCATTGTCACGGACGTGCCTCCCTCCCACCAGGCCTGGTATCTTAGCATGGTGGCCATTGTCACAGACGTGCCTCCCTCCCACCAGGCCCGGTATCTCAGCGTGGTGGCCATTGTCATGGACGTGCCACCCTCCCACCAGACCCGGTATCTCAGTCATAAATGGAAAGAAATGTGAATGGTCAGACCAAACAAAGGGGTCAGAGGTCAAAGGCCAGGCTCCCCATTCCCGCCCCCTCCTGCTCCCGTGCTCAAGAGCCGTCATTTGAAAACGACCGAGAGAGACCGCCGTAACTCCAGTCCCGTCTGCCTGGCAGGACACGCCGTCCCCCTCTGCGCCACACGGTCTCATCGCCAAATAGCTGGGACCTTGGCCGTGGGCGGCAGGTGCAGTGCTGCCCCTCGCTGTGCCACGCGGCCCGGCCAGCGCCCACGCCTCGGCGCCCACGCTAAGCGGGAGGGGTCTCCACTCACCCTCACGAGCTGCTGCGGGAAGGGCCCTCGGGAGTTCTCCGGCACGTTGATGGGCGGGATGACCCAGTCCCGCTTCTGTCGCCTCAGCCCGCCGGGGTTCTGGCGCTGGGGCCACGGCAGCAGCGTGTCCCTCGTTGGCGGGGACGGCTCCGGGTCCGCGTCCTTCCGTGCTTTCTGCGGCGTCAGGGGGAGAGGGGAGAGAAGAGTGACAGCGGCGGTCACGTCTGTGCAAAGGAAAAGGGTCTGTTGGGGGTTCTGAGCCGCCCCGGACTGAGGGGGAAGAGCGGACGGGGGGTGTTATGGGAGAGCCCAGCAAGACCCGTCTGCAGGGAGGCGGCTGCACAGCCGATGGGGAAGGGGAACCACAGGAGGAGGGCAGAGTTGCCTGTCTCGCCAACGCTGTGGATAGGGGCGTTCAGAGCCCCAGCAGCGGGAGAAACCACAAAGGAAAAGCTAAGACACTTCAATTTAAAACTCCTGTTTAAGGTCGGGAGCGGTGGCTCACGCCTGTAATCCTAGCACTCTGGGAGGCCAAGGCGGGCATATCGCTCAAGGTTAGGAGTTCAAAACCAGCCCGAGCAAGATCGAGACCCCGTTTCTACCAAAAATAGAAATTAATTGGCTAACTAAAAATATATGGGAAAAATTAGCCGGGCGTGGTGGTGCATGCCTGTAGTCCCAGCTACTCGGGAGGCTGAGGCAGGAAGATGGCCTGAGCCCAGGAGTTTGAGGTTGCTGTGAGCTAGGCTGACGCCAGGGCACTCTAGCCTGGGCCACAGAGTGAGACTCCATCTCAAAAAAAAAAAAAATTAATAATAATATAAATAAATAAAACTCCTGTTTAAGAAAATATACCCAAAAGGCAATTAACAAATTTGGAAAACATTATTTACAACAAATTTTACAAAGGATTAATAGTCACAATACAAAGAGCTCTTACAAGTCAATAAGAAAAAAATGGGATTTTTTTTCAAACAAGAAAAGGGCATGAATAGATAATTCACAGCAAAATTAATATAAACTGTCAATAAAGTTATAGAAGATGTTCGCATCTTCCAGTAGTCAAATAATGCAAATCAAAGTAATGTGTCCTTTTCACCTATCACATTGACAAGACTTAACGAGATCAAGCCTCAGCACTGGGATGGCGTTGCCAGGGCGACAAGGAGGAGTCGGATTAGCGTCAAGCAGCCCTCTCGCCTTGTGTTTAGGGGCAACCAGGGATTCAGGTAACATGGGGCAAAGTCCCTTAATCTCTCAAAACACTGGTTTCTTCTCCTATGAAACAGGGCCGATAGCAATAGCCCCGAGTTCAGAGGGTCGCTATGGGAATGATATCAGATGACGCTGAGAAAGGCCCCGCCCACGTTAGCGGGCAGTGGTGGGACCCGCGATGCCCGTGCCAGGCACCGCCAGCAGCCAGTTTGCCGGCGACTACCAAGAACCTCAGAAATGACCCGCCAGACCCAGTAACTCCACAGCTGGGCATCCGTCCCCCTGACTCCATACACGGACAAAAATCACCGTAGTATAAAGATGTTCACTGCAGACAGTTTTATAACAGTAAAAATACAGAAAGAAAATCTGGAGGTCGGACAGTAACAATAGCTGAATGCACGACACTAGGTCTGCATCTCGGGACATCGCAGTCACCGACAGTTACTCTGCTGGGGCTCCCACAGGAAGAAACGTCTATCAAGTATCAGTAAGTGGAGGAATAACATCAAAGTATACACGCAGCACGGCCACAGTGTTTTTAAAGAACAGAGAAAGAAATGGAAGGCAACACATCAAAAGGTAAACTCGGGTCACCAGGGCGTTTTATGTTATCTTCCTTTGTTCCTTTTGCCTTTCTACGCTTTCTAAATGTTGTGCTGCACATGACTTCCCACGGTTAGCACAGCCAACGGAGCCTCACGTTATGCACGTGGCGTCCATGCACACGACACACCGGGTTTATTTCAAGGTGCCGCACATGGTGCCTTGGCGCAGTCCTCCTGGCTGGTGTTCACGTTACTCTGAATCTCCGAGACCGAAGAACAGGACGGGCCTCGGAGCAGGGCGGCCCGAGGCCGAGCTCAGAGCTGGCCAGGAGGCGTCTCCGCAGAAACTGACCCTGCAGCCACCGCAGGGCCCACCCTCCGCTGCGTCCAGATCCCCCCACCCCGGGCACCGATGGTCTGAGCGCTGGCCTCTGGGCACGGAGCCCCTTCCCCACTCCCTTTTGCAAAAGAGTCTGCGCAGAAATAAGTTAAACACATGTAAACACAACTGCCTACTTGATGCAAAAAACCAAAAAAAAATCAATCTGCTCCCAAATGCTCAAACATAGAGCCACATTGGTGGGAAAAATCCGTCTGGACAAGCCACACTCCAGCGAGACACCCCCATGGGACCTGCCCCCAGCTCCTGCATCCGAGAGTCTGCAGCACTTCACAACCCAGGTCTCCACGGTCCCTGCTGTCCTGTCAAAGGCAGTGGTGCCAGGTGCACACCATGGCCTGTGGCCGTGTCGCCACGGAAACGCTCCATCACACCAACCTCAGTTCAATCACACCAGCAGAGGCTGCCCCACGCCTCGTCCTCAGCTCTCGTGGGGTTGGGGTGGGGTCTTCTCTGGCTCCTTGGTGACCTTTGAGGAACTGTCTTTAGGACAGTCTTGGTCGTGCATCCTCCCCTACAACCCGGAGTGTAGACGGCTGGTCTCCAGTGGTAGCCAGAGCCTTGCAGGCCCCGAGTGTTGGGGGGCTGACGGCAGGACCCTGCGTCCCGGGTGGCCACACAGGCCCCTCCTCTGAAGAATTCCCACCTGCCCTGCAAGCCCCGGCCCCAGACGGCGGCACCTCCCGGAGCCTGTCTTTACCCTGGAGGGATGACAGGTTGGGCTGAGAAAGCGAAAGCTTTGATGGGAAAGACCAGACTAATCCCACTGCTCAAAGTGCCTTGAAGTAACACAACGTAGTAAACAGAGACAGTAACAATCGCCGTGACCACGCACTGAGCACTTGGGCTCCGGGCCAAACGCTGTTGCGGGGACCCCCTGCCCCCTCCCCGTCACGGCTCAGGGAAGCAGACGCCCCACCAGGGAGAGCACAGGCCAGCAAGCCCTGAAGGCCACGCAGCTCACTGGGCAGAGGTGTCTGACCCCAGGGCCAGAGCCCCGGGACAGCGGGACAGTGCCACCCCTGCTCAGGGCTCCCACACCGGCGAGGGGTGGGCTGGCAGAAACCGCTATTCCCGTGCAGGAGGCGGGACCTGTTCAGGGATCTACGTGTCGTTTCCCTCAGGACGTCTCCCATAGACCCCAGACCGGACAGGGTCGGCGTCCGGGAGCGCGTTAGGAATGCAAATCCCCAGGTCCCCCTGGGACGCACGGACTCTGGTGTGCCCAGGATCCGTGTTTAATGAGCCCTCCAGGTGATGGATGTGCTGTTCCTCACACGCACACACACGTGCACACACGCACACGCGCACACACACACATGTGCACGCACCTTGCCACGGGGTCTCCCCACACTCAGGTCAGTAGGTGCCCGCCCAGGAGAAGGGACGTGTCAGCTTTTGCTCCTGAGCACGTCTGCGTGAGGCCAAGCAGCCAACTCAGCAAACGCATCCTTCCTGATGTTGGGGGCGGGGCCGTCCTGGCTCCAGTGGATGGGGCAGACACAGCCGGTCTGTCTCACCTGGTGATGCTTCGGCACCAGCAGAAGCTCACCTGGCCCTCTGAATTCCAGGCTCACAATTCTGAAGGGTTTTCATATAGCTGATTTTTTTTTAAACCTGCTTTATCTTCATTTGCTTAGGATGAGCTAGCATGGCGTTAATTTCCCCAGTGTTGTTTAAATAAATTGCACATATTTGCTACTATTTTAAAGCTGTGAGACAAATGTAATAACAAAATCTGGTGGAAACCAATGCCAGACCTGTGCAGGCTCTGCCTGGGAGATGCACCCACTTCCCTGGAAGAAAACGTCAGCGGCAGTTCGCACTTACCCCGTGGAACAGGCGTGTTCTGAACACGCAGTCATCTCGGGCCCATTCAGAACACGGCGGATAAACACTGATGCTTAATTGCACTAAATATAAATAACGCTTCCAGTTACTCTTAAAAGTACTTCCTGGCAGATGACACCTGCTCATTTCCCCTGATGCATTTCTGTACTGTGTGTTTCTGAGCGAGCGATGACTGAGCGTGGGGTGTGATTTGAATGTGGCTTGCACTCCTGTGGTACCCCCGGCCCCGGGCTGCAGGCCGGTCCTGTCCGGGGCCTGTTAGGAACCGGGCGGCACAGCAGGAGGTGAGCGGCAGGCCAGCGAGCCAGGCTTCACCTGTACTTGCAGCTGCTCCCCATTGCTCGCACCACAGCCTGAGCTCGGCCTCCTGTGGGACCAGCAGGGGCATCGAGTTCTCACAGCAACGCGAACCCCACTGTGAAATTCGTGTGCGAGGGGTCCAGGCTGCGGCTCCTTATGAGAACCCAGTGCCTGATGACCCGAGCCGGAGCTGGGGCGGTGGTGCTGGCGCGGGGAGCGGCTGCACAGACAGACTGTCGTTAGCGGGGAGGTCTGACTGCACAATAAACGTAACACATCTGAATCACCCCAATCCACCCCGGTTCATGGATAAATTGTCTTCCATGAAACTGGTACCTGGCGCCAAAAAGATGGGGAACCACTGCTCTACTCCACTGGTACTAAACATTAGATGCTACATATGCACACATGTGTACGAAGCACTATGCACATATGCACGTGTGTATGTACATAGATGTACATGTATGCACACACAGATGTATATGTGCAGATACCTACATACGTGTAGATATACATGGGGACACATGCATGTGTTTATGTATCATACATGCATGCCTGCTCACCGGGTCCTGATAGTTTAGCCCAAGTGGGAGGTCCTGGAACTAGTGGGGTCGGGACGGTCATGGTTGCAGAGCTGGTCTCTGGGTCCAGCCTGGCGGGTGCCCACGTTTGCAGAGTGACGAGCACCAAGGAAGTTGCCCTCCCTACTTCCGTCCACTCCCTGGACACCGGGATGATGTGGTTACGGGGGGACTTCCCGGACTTCTGACAGCTTGCAGGATCCTCCTCGAGGATCTCAGGGTGACGGACGAAGGCAGAGAAACAACAACAGTCTCCCATTTCCACTGGAAGGCCGGGGC